GAGAGAGTGAGAGAGAGAGACTATTTATAGATTATAATATGGGAACCTATTCTAACTCTAAAACTATAATAAACGTTAATATAGATACTATGTCAAACTATGATGCTATCAAGTATCAAATACCATCTCATAGAATTGACCGAAACAATTAGGCTTGTTCACTATTCGGATAAAACCGAATTATCCAATTGGACAATTTGGATTGGACTATTTGGTTCGGATATTTGGATTTTTGGATTGGTTTTCAACAAAACCGAATTATTATTTTGGATTTCGGATTGGTTTTGGTTTATAAAATAAGAACCGAATAGTCCAAAAAAATCGAATAACATTTATTATTTATCTATTTATAATATATATCTATAGTTATTTATTAATTTTGTAATTTATTTTTTCAAATAGGTACAAAACATTTCACCCGATAAAAAAAACATTAATATGCATTTTCTCTTGAAAGTTTTGTACCTATAAAATATTTAACTATAATATATATCTTCTTATTAGTTATTTATAAATTTTAAATTACAACTAAATTATTTGTTTTTGCTTCTTGTGTAAAGTTGGGTAATATATGTCGTTTTAAAATGTTTCGGTTTTTGAAAACCGAATTATAAAAACCGATCCAACCGAATTGTAATTGGATCGGATCGGAACGGATTTGAATTTAGTTTGGACAATTTGGATTCATGTTTTGAAAACCGAAATCAATTTGGATTTACTTGATTGGATCGGATCAAACTGATCCATCCAAACGAACACCCCTAGAAACAATTTAGCCCAAAGAGATCCTGGCTCATTAAAAAAACCGCCACTTCATTTTTAGCATGAATAGAAAAGAGACTACCAATACCTAACCTTCTTAACTTGTTAATTTCGGCACAAGAACCTTCTTCCATTTAACTCAAGATAACTTCTTTCAGCACAAGCAAGTCATATTTTGAAAGTTTTGATTTATGTGGGAAACTTGTTGATGGAAACAATAGACTTGAATTAACAATTATAAAAATCAACCAAATGTCAAAAGTTTGTCATGAAAAGTATCATCCCGCATTCCCACTATATCATCACTATGAGTCTATTCGTAGTGGTACTTGTTCCACGCGTGGAATGCTGAGGTGTACACCCTGGAGACGTGTGAACACCACCCTAGGATGGTTGGGTTGGATGTGGCGTGGGTGGTAAGACGGAGCAAGACAACCGGTCCCAAATAAGCACCGCACCAACGTCGCTTTTCATCCATTTTCTCTTTTATTGAAGTTACATATATGGTCCCTGAAAATGTTTATTTGTATCTCATTATATCCTTATACTTATCTTTAAATTAAATTAAACCCTCAGCTATATATATATATATATATATATATATATATATATATTAAAATGAAATATGGTTTTATTATTCTATGTTTTTAAAATATATATTTATGTTTTAAATTATTTTTTTAATTAATTTAATTTGGTTTCAATTAATATAAAATATTTTAATATTTATTTAAATTATGTTTTTATTTAATTTAATCATAAAAAAATAAAAATAAATAAAAAAGATAATTGTGGAGTGGTGACCATTTCCTATGTTTAGTAGATTGGTGGTGAAGCTGACGTGACGCAGATGTGACACCATTTTTTCGATGAGTTAGTGGTGACCACTCCCCACAGCCTGATGCACAGACGGATGATCAAACAAACTAGTTAAACTCTATGCGTCTCTAAAGGCTCAATCTAGCTACTCCCGTTAAGATAAAAAAAAAGCCACAAAAATTTGAATGAATAATCAATAGATTACAATTGTAAGGTGCCAAAACTGGTAACTAGGGAAAATCAGTCGCATATTAAAAGTATATGATCATAATATTTGTTAAAAAGAATCAAATTACAGTCATATATGTTATTGTCAGTTGTATAAAAATATGATATCTTTTATTCAATGGGTATAAATGTAAGTTTACCATGGATCGGATAGGGTTTGGTCAACCAAAAGCATCCTTATAGTATAAGTCAGTTCACGGATCACTTGAGTTTTGCTCCTCCAAAAATATTGGAAAGGAACATCCATCTACCTCATTACACCCCTTGACTTTCCTCAACGTTGCATGTGAAGCCCTTCACCTAGATTCTAAGTATGAAGTGCATTTTTTGTAAGGATGTTTTGGTAATTCTTGATATCGTCTAATGAATATATCAATAATTACCAAAATATCCTTACAAAAGCAAAAACATCCTTTAGTATACGGATGAATAAAGTTTATAACTATATGAGGCAATGATGACATATTTGGTAAAATTGAAGGAGAATATAAGTGAGAGCAAAAATAAAAAAAGCTATCATTTAATTAATATAGGAAACATCATGATCTTTCTTTTTAAACTAAGAAAAAAAGTTATTATGTATATATTTGTCAAAGAATAGTTATATCACATTAAGTCTGTTAATTAAAAGGAAACATCACATTAAGGCATATGCCCACTATCAACATCTAACCTCCAAATATGAATACTATAGTAGGTTGCATATAATTTGACAATTTATTCCCATAACAAAGACTAAACTGTAAAGATTTTTTTTTTTTTTAAAAGCTAAATTGCAAAATTATATATTAAAAAAGAAATTCATGTTAAGATTTTGAACACCCCATACTTATTAGTTCAAAAAGATTAACATATGTAATGCATTATACAATATTAAACTTGTTCTTCTATTTTTATTTTAACAATAAAGATCTAAGGGGAAACGGAGTCATGCTTTTATGGGAAGGTTGGTGGGGTGATATGTGGATTACTTAACTCCTTCAACCGCAATAATTATTTGTACTTTTTGTTTTTAGACTTGTACCAAAATAACTTTATATGTTTTTATACTAGTTTGTATAATTTTAATATTTTGTAAATTATTTTGTATATTTTTTATTAGTTTGTGTTTATTTTAAAATTAAAAATTAAGTGTGTTGAATGAGTTGAAAAAGATATAATTTTCATGTATCGTAGGTTGGACAAAATTAAAGAGAGAAATAAAGAAAGGAGAGAAAAATGATGATGTGGAGCTTATTTGACACCGAATTTAATGAGTTGGGAGGAAAAGACTCAAGAACATTAACTAAAATATGAATAAATGGACAATTTGATCCCGTCCAATGTTAACTTTTTAAATTATAATTCTAACTTTTTAAATTATAATTCACTTGATTTTTAAAGGGCTAATGTCATAAAAGTCCTTAAGTTTTCAAGAAATTGTTGGTTTTATCCTCCGTTGTTTTTTGGGTTCGTTAATGCCGGATATTTGAATTAATTTTTACATGTATGCCCTTCTAGGAGGTTTACCGGTCAACTTCCAGTCATCGATGTTATGACTGTGTTCATGTGTGAAATAAGGACCTGTTTCTTCTTCCCCCTTTGCTCTGTAAAAAAGGGTGAATTTTTTTTACCCTTTATACATCTCTCTCTCTGTCCCTCTTTCATTGAATCTAATTTTGCAAGTCTTGGTGATGATTGAAATTCCGGTGGATGTTGCAAAGTATGGTGATTGCTGCCATGATGTTCTTCCCTTCGATTAGAAGGTCTGATCCCACATTTTCCCTCTTTGAATCCCCTCTTCTTGAATCAGATCGAAGGATGGTGACTGTGGTTGTGATGATCTCTCTCTCTCTCTTTCTCTCTCTCTCAACACCACATACACGCACACACACAACCTAACTCCCTTGAAATCACATGTCTCTCGTCTCTTGTTATGTATTATCGAACACCTGTGTGCTGGATGTACAATTAAAACGAAGAACATAGTATTCCCCTTGTTGTGCGTGTTTATTTTGTGCCCCTTTTTCTCTCTATCTACAGGTGTTAGTCAAAGAAATATGATGATGAACAGGGCGCCAGGAGAGGGAAGTAATCTTAAAAAAAACTTTGAATCTGAGGGATCTGGTAGACGTGGCCCCTTCCACTGCGCTTATTGAAGCTTTTGCATCAAACCCAAATTGTCTACACAACCGAGGATTCTTGAGAAACACATCGGGCATCGAACAAACGAAAAACCCATCATGATTATGCTCCTGTTGGTTGTGAATTGGAACTTGGGGTTCGAATTTCTCCAATTGCAACACATCTGTGCACTCACTACCTCTTTCCCCCTTTGTTGCAACTCAATTATCAGCCTTTTCATTTGAATTATATAAATTTGATTAATGTGAAGCTGTGTGAGAAGATGAGAGACTAAGAAAAACTGATAGGTACACATTCTCTTTCTCTCTCTGTATGAAGTTTTAACATAATTGTAATTAGTACCAAGGAGGAAGCATCTGATATGTACCACAACTATATCTGATATGAATTGATTAGCAAAAACTGGAGAAAACAATAAACAGTAGAAATAAACGTGGGTGGGGGATTGAAGCCAATATGGCCCACTAAATGGAGAGTGTGACCGGGTAACCGGTTATTTACCTGCTAAATGGCAATTTTGATATAATTTATCCAAATATTAGGCATTAATGAACCCAAAAGACCTGAAAGGGTAAAACCAATAATTTCTTGAAAACTTAAGGACTTTTATGATGTTAGCCCATTTTTAAAGACTAAATACATTCCAAAAATATGTAATGTTAACTTTTAAGATCTAGATTTGTCAAGTTTAAATCCACAAGTTATTCATTTAATTCCGTTTTGGTAAATTTCTAAAAGAATAAAAAGTTAATGTCTTACTTGTAAATTAAAATACATATTAAATTATTAATTATAGCTTTTTATATGACTTCTAATCTAATTTAAAATAATATCAATAAATAATAAACAGAAATATATTTTAAAAATAAAAAAGTTAAATACATAAATAGTTAATTATGTTTGATTTATTTGAACCGTTTGAGTTTTGTTTAATTAATTAAATAATAATTCAATTAATCTAAATTAATTCAAATATACAAAATCATACATGTGAATTCAAATCATCCAATTTTCCCTATAAAGTTATTTCTCCTAGATTGACCTTGTGACAGATTAATATGAGACCTATGCTTAATTTATTTTTTCTATTTGAAAATATTAAGTTAATTGTAAAACTAAAAGGGCTGAAGTTATCAATTCATGTATACACGAGGGGCCTTAGTGTATGTAAAGGATCCTTTAAAACTCTGTCACTGCCTCACCCACCAGAGACGCTTCCTTCCTCACTCCTCCTGTTGCCGCCGCCGTGCCACCGGCGCCCTCCACCTTCACACTCAAAAAACACCACCAGTTCTACCCCCCTTCAAATTTCTCTGAAACACTCACTCACGCTCATGATCAATTCTCTCCCTGTTTTGTTTTCGTTAACGGTTACACAATTAGCCGGCGAACTCAGATTTTCGTCTCTGTGTTCGCCTCTGTGGTGAATTATACTCTTTCGTTAGGAAATCTACGTTAATTTTCCACGAAACAGTAACAGAATCAAGAAATTGCTTGAAGCAGACTCAACTGCTTCATACACTCTCCCTCTGTAAGTTTTTCACATCCCTCGTGTACAAGCACACACCTACACACAAACTGCATTGATCAATTTATGTTCGAATTTATCAATTTAATGTAATTCATCTGCATCGATAAGTGTCTCTCGTATATTCATCTTTAGTTGCGCTTAATTTACTCGAGGAATTTATATAACCTACTGATGAGCTTCTTTGAATTTAAACATACGCATTACTCTTAGTCATGTATACATATTCTAAAATGTTAATTTTGCAGGTAATTTCCCTTCTCGGTTTTTGTCACCAACATTTTTTTTAGGGTTTTCACTGTTTCATTGAATTGGCCCTTAAAATTACCAGATTCTTCAGTAATCATGAATTGTCGATTGAGATTTCTTGTGACGTTTGTAATTGATCAAAAGACAACCCTTAATTTGTTCATAATTCCCGTGCTAACTCTATAGATTGATCTGGATTATGACTTGGTGTAGTGATCATCTAAAGTTCTAAACAGTGTTCTTGTCGTTTCCCCCTTGTTTTTACAGAGTGGTGATTAAGAGGGAAATGAAGGATGTTTTCTTGGGTGGGGAAGTTAGCATCAGCATTCTGGTTACCTTTAAGTCTATATGCCCGTACGAACAAGGATGAGAGCTTGGGTGATGATGAGAATGATCCCCTGTTATGGTCTAAAGAGCTTGAAAAACACGCATTCGGTGAATTCTCATTCGCAGTTGTTCAAGCCAATGAGGTTTTAGAAGATCACAGTCAGGTAGAGATAGGTCAAAACGCCACCTTCATTGGCGTCTACGATGGCCATGGTGGCCCAGAAGCTTCACGCTACATCTGTGATCACCTTTTCCCTCATCTCATCCGTGAGTCTTCTCCAATCTTCTTTTCCCCTTTTCCCCTTTTCACTTTCACTTAACTACTTTTTACTTTTCATCACATAAATCTCGATAAAAGTTCGTACTTTGTGCTTCACAGATTGTACCTAGATTTAATTCAAAAAATATATGTTAATTTAATAGGTCTTACTCAAGAAAACGGATTAAATTTAACATCGTCAAAAAGCCTTAAAGATGCTGTTTCTGCTACTGAAGAGGGGTTTCTCTCTCTAGTGAGAAGAACATGTGGGATAAAGCCATTAATGGCTGCTGTTGGATCTTGTTGTTTAGCTGGACTCATATCTCAAGGCACATTGTACGTTGCTAATATGGGCGATTCTAGAGCTGTGATAGGCCGTTTAAATAAACGCAAATCAAATAAAATTATAGCTGAACAAATCACTGAAGATCATAACGCTTCCATGGATGAAATAAGACAAGAACTTAAATCTGATCATCCAGACGACCCTCATATTGTTGTCATGAAACAAGGCGTCTGGCGTATCAAAGGCATCATTCAGGTCTGTTCAGTCCAGTCCTGTCCAGTGTAACAAATGCAGATGCAGCTTTATCTGACGTGTTTACTTTTTGGTTGTTGGTTTTAGGTATCCAGAACGATTGGAGACGCGTATTTGAAAAAACCCGAATTTGCCCTCGACCCATCGTTCCCGCGGTTCCATCTTCGCGAACCGATCCAGCGACCCGTTTTGAGAAGCGGGCCGTCGATGCATACTCGGGAGTTAAAACCGGAAGACAAGTTTGTTGTGTTTGCATCGGATGGATTATGGGAACACATGACAAATCAACAAGTAGTGGAGATTGTTCACAATAACCCTCGACCAGTAAGACCTTGTTGACTTTTTCTCTATTAAGTGAAAAGAGAAATTACTGATTTATTTAATCATTTGTATGTGTTTAGGGTATTGCAAGAAGGCTTGTGAAGTCAGCAATGGTGGAAGCTGGTAGGAAAGCAGGGAAGAAGAGGTACGATGAAGTGAAGAAGATGGAGAAAGGGTGTAGACGTGCGATTCATGATGATATAACGGTGGTGGTTGTTTTTATCGATCATCAAAAGATGAATATGGGAATCGATGAGTTATCGATGCGTGGGTTTAATGACTCGACTTCACCTTCTGGTTTTAGGGCTTTGGGATGAAAAAAATACTCGGTTTTGTGTACTTTTAATCTTTTTTTTTTTTTTTGGCAGATATTAACTCTATTGTTTTTGCATGAATAATAATAATACTAAAAGCCCACGTATTTTTCAAAATAAATCGGTTGTATGAAATATGAATGATGTATGTAGTAAGTTTTTTTAAAAGTTGTGGATAAGGTCCCACAAGCATTAAATCAAACCATAAATAAGTTGTTGAAAAATATACGAGGGTATCACATTTATCTCAAGAGACCGTTAGGTAAAGTGTATTACACTATTTCAAACATAATGACCTAAGATGAACATAATGATAAAACCTAGTGAGTAATCATATGGTTGGTAATATAATAAAAACATCAAAAAAGATTAAAATTTTTAATAATAGGTAAAACATTGCGATGAATAAAGTGTAATTTATTAACCGCAAATCTTCTGAAACTTCAAAAAGGTAAACAATATATTATGCAATGTATGAAATGAAATAAGTTTTCCAAAACATGTCCTCACTCTAAAAGGACTCTCGAAGCTCTCATATAGAAAGGTGGTTAATTGAAGCCTACTCATGAAATAGCACACAACACATTCACGTATACAAGTTTCCATTTCAAAAACTTAAAAAACTACTAGGTTATATGTTAATCACCACACATGAATCATGTGAGGCGTTTGCAAGGCCTAACACACGTGAATGCATTTTAGAATGTCATTTGAAGCTTCAAGGCTTCAAAATTTGGATATCCAAGTTCTTGAAAAGTGTCCGGACCACACAAAACTCAAAACTCATCAAATAATGGATGCACATGATTTGGAACTCAAAATGTATTATATATATATATATATATATATATATATATATATATATATATATATAATGTGTTTTATTCAACAAATCTTTTAAAGAAGTATCTTGAAGTTGGGACTTCTTATATATACTCACCTCAAAAATATACATAACCTTCTATCTGACTCCCCTAAGTATAATAAGGATTATCGAACACGTAAACTTATACTCATTTACACACATAAACCAACATAACATGTCCTTAAGGAAGCAAAGAAAACATACAAGCGACACCGGGACCAATATTTGACAAGATCATATACCCATTTTATAAAAAGGGAAAACATGTGTCATGTGATTTTGGTCATGGAAAGCATATAGTCGTGTGAATGGTCCCAATCAACTCATTATGACCAAAATTTTTGAAAATACTTTCTATTTTGATCTAACCATTTCCAAAACAGATTCTAATGATCTAGGTAGAAGCATATGGTTCAAAACTTTATTTTAACACTTATTTATATCCATATTAAGATTTCTAATTAGAGTAATACATGATTAAATTAAGTAATTAACATCATCAATAATTTAAAACTTAAATCATTAGTAATAACCATTATATCCGGTTCTTTTTTGAGATTTGAACTTAGAACACTAAAATCTAACTCCCAGTCATATTAGAAATATAAATTCATAGTCAGTTTTAAATTCATATTGATCAAAGGATGATCCACCATTGTTGGGGATAAATATTTTCATCCAAGCTCCATAACTTCAAATTTGACCAAATTGATAGATTATCTTCTATTACTTAGACAGAGATTATTGACATCTACATTAAACACATTAAATTGTTGAGTTTCACCAACAATTCAAGATTAGCAGATTTACAAGGTGGTTCACCATTCTTGGGAACTTAAAGCTTCAAAGTAATGTATGTAATGAAGAAGAATATGTCTTTAAGGCTTTGACACTTGAACTTGATGATAATATTTGCAATTACTAATATCTTCTAAATTTCAAATTCTCCTTCGGCTTCCAAGCTCTCCTTCATAATACACTTGAAATTAGGGGTGAGCGTGGTCCCGAAACCGGACCGAACCGAGAACTTGTAACATAAAAATGTGAAACCAAACCAATTTGTGTACTCTGGTTTAATTTCAGTTTCGGTACCAGATCGATTTGTTTTTTCCATTCCATTTGCTCACTCCTAACTAAAACCGGACCGAACCCAAAACTTGTGAATATAATATTGAAACTCGAACTGATTTGTGTACTTGTTTTGGTGTGGTACTGGTGCCCATTGAAATATGTTTGTTTCCGGTCCATTTACTAAACCCTATTTGAAATTGTTTAGAGAGAGAGAGAGAGAGAGAGAGAGAGCTTAATACTTCTAAACCTTCCTTAATTGTCAAACTATTCCTTCAACTTAATCTTTTTGCACAAAGTATCACATTTAGGATTTCCCTAAAATTTCAAATCCTTAAGCTTTTAGATTGACCCGCAACAATAAGAGTAAAGTACACGAATGGTCCCTATGGTTTGGGATAATTTGCGCGCTTGGTCTCTAACTTATTTTCTTAACTCGGATGGTCCATACTGTTTGTTTTTTGTTATGCGTTTGGTCCCTACTATTTATTTTTGTTACACGCTTGGTCCCTGTCTTACCTAAAAATACTATTATTTAAATAGGGAAAGATGGTGGGGTATGTAAGGTAAGGTGATGGAGTGGGGTTGGGATGTGTTTATTTAAATAAATTAAAAAAATCAAGGGAAAAATAGTCTTTAAAGGTAAGACGGGGACCAAGCGCGTAACAAAAACAAACAATAGGGACCTTCCGAGTTAAAAAAATAAGTTAGGGGCCAAACGCGCAAATTACCCTAAACCATAGGGACCATTCGTGTATTTTACTCCAACAATAAATATTCTTATAACTAGATAGGGACCCCCGCGTTGCGGGGGTCGCGTTGCGGGGGTCGGATGCGACAATTTTTTCCGTTACTATTCACTACCAAGTTGTGTATCTCCAGAAATAGAAAGCACCTTAAAAACTGCATCACCAACCTCAACAATTACGATCAACAAAAAGGGAAATATGTGTAATCAAAGTATTACGAATGCACATGGAAAAAAGATGTTCCACCAAAAAAACAAATGTAGAAAGATACAAACGGACACAATTGCAGACAATGAAAGGAAGAACAATTGCATGTAATGCCTTACCTGCAAGTTTGTAAATACATTGCTATTCTTCCTCTAGAAAAAAACATCCATATAAATCATACACTAAAATGTGACATTACATTTAAATGATAAACTAAAAGACATCAATTACTTAATCAGTATTCCATATCTGACATTAACCAACAATTCCAAATAGACTCTTAGATGCGGCATGAACATTACCTGCGGTGGGTGTCAGTGGTTGACGATTCTCATGTGTGTGAAAGAATCCCATTTCTTGTAGCTGTGTCAGCTGTATAGCATACAATTCTTCTGGAGGCACTGTTTTTTTATTTTATTTATAAAAAATGAAAAATATATGAGTTTGTTTATTTGTGAGATATGAATGATGATTTTGATAGATTAAATAATAGGTAAATAAGTTAGTTACCATTTGAATTGTTTGGCATTGTGAAGCCACCGGTTCCAAGCCCCCAAAAGATGTTCATAGGCATATATCCAATCCCATGTTGTCGGGCCCACCTGCTATACCAAAAAACAAAATTATTATAAATATAATAATATTTATTAAGATTTAGTTTGCTACACCGGTTTGACCTATTTCCCTGAATATATAAACAAAAAATTGATATCAAACCATGAATATCAATTACATGGTGAAGTGAAAATCAACGTTTGAGTTGACCTACTAGAAAAAAAAGGATAAACATTTTACTGAGTGGGTGGTTGCCTACCAGACAAAAGAGACTGTTGCACTGTGATTATTTACTATAAATGGTAAGAACAGTAGCTGAATGGATGCGTAGACCGGTGATGGTAATTAGCAAAAAAGTAACAATATAAAATTGTAAATTCAACAAATACAAAAACTCTTAACAAACCCAAACATAAATCTTTTGCTATTGTTCCTTTATTCTTGTTTTTTGTTTTAACAAAACATTTTTTGTCTCCTGGTTCAATCACCTTCCCATACATTTTTTGTCCCCTGCTTCAATCACCTTCAATTACCTACGGGTGTGGGGATAAAATGACCGGCAAACCGGCACTATTCCTAAGGATGGAGAAAACAAATACATATAAAAATAACCACAGAGATAAATATAAATTGTTTAAATGCTTCAATATAAATTGTATAATTTGTAGATTAGAAACGTGGCATGAATAAGCCTAAGGCTAGGCTTAAGTGCAGCTCTCTTAGCACTTGTGTAAGCCATTGATGTAGCAACTGCTGTTGCCCAAATTGTGCCTACATATACATTTTTATCAACACTCCATTATATTGTGTCGGGTTGATCATTCAAAAAATCAAATCTATCATTATATTAAGTAAAAGTTAAAGTTTATAAATTAAACCAACCAATGCTGGTGAGCTTGTGGTTTGAGACCCAAGATTGCAAGGGCAAATAGACCAAATGTTATCAAAGAGAAAATGGTCGATTATATATATGATGACATTAGGGACAAATGAAGTTGTAAGTAAATTTGCAATATGTCCAGTCGAAGTAGTTATTGCATTCATTGTGAACAGGGCAAAATGGTCCAATTTTTGTACAATGTGAATAATAGCTAATAAAAAAATGCCATTTACCGTGTTTTTAAGTATTCGATTGAACGTGAAATTTACATATATGTTGTTAGCTGGTGAATGAACATGACAGCCTGTAATATTCATCGATCAAAAAAATCTGAAAAATTCTGCATCTGCGATACAAATATAGAGTGCAAAAAATCAGAGGTTTTTTGGAGAAGTAAAACATAGAAGATGGCATTGAGAAGTTTACACCTTGTCAAATAGATAAGCCCTCCCATGTCGACAGTGGAATGTCTTTTAGCCAACTGCAAAATAGATGGCATGCTTCATGGTCCGATGACAAAGCCCAAAAGGTTAGCCAACTGCAAAATAGATAACAACAAAATGGTCATTTTCAAGGATTAATAATTTTTTTAAATGACTATACCCATGGAAATCAATAAAACATTCAGACCTACATTTTTTTTTATTAAAATTAATAACTAATTACAGTGTAATTATATTTAATAAAAATTATAAGTATAAAATTGGGTTAAACCATAATTTCTCATTGACTCATTTCATTCCATGATAATTTTTAAAATTTTCATAATATTTTTCTTGCCAAAAGAAGAAAACTAAACGGCCTCATCAAGAAAATCAGTTTGAAATCTGATCAAAATAGATCAATTCACAGGTAAAACTTCAAGTGTGTGTAATAGTACTTTGAATATATAAATAAGAACAGTACTTACATTTTATCAGCTTTCCAACTATTTTGCACCAATAACTTCAGAACCACTGATTAACTAAGGTCAATAACAACTCTTCTTTGCAATCTCTTCTACACATTAGAAAAAGAAAACCAAAGGTAAATAATCAATTAAGGAATATTGAATAACAATATCAAAGCCGATGAAAACCAAAGGTTATAAATCAATTAAAGATCAAAATGTATCAAATTGGGTTTAGCTATCATCTCGAAAGGGGGGTAAAAGTATTGTAAATTTAACCTGGAGTGTAGCTTCTGCAATGAATTTTTAGCATTCTCAAGTCTCCATAAGTGAATTCATTGTTTACTTTTTTCAGGTTTCCACTTTACTATCACATGAAGCTTGCATTTCTTGCATGGCTTCAACTTCCCGCCATAAATTTAAACAACCTTTTTATAATTATTGTAAATTTAACAATCCAAAGTCAAAAAAATAATAGTCACTTGAAAGGAGTTTTCCCTGAGGAATTTACAAATCTACCTTTTCGGCAAGAACTGTAAATCGACCATTCACCATCAGATCCCACTGGATAGAAGGTAACAAACACACAAAATTTTTCTTTTAATCAATTTAGGGCTGCTATTTTTGTATTAACACTTCTGAGTTTCGTGATGATATATAAACTAAAATGCATAATTACATAAAGGGCTTCCTTAACAGAAGCTACAGTATGAAGTTTGACTTTATGAATAAATGGTTGACCCGTTGGAAGTTTAAGAAGTAGTTGGAACTCCTACAATAACTCCTACAATAAAAATCATATAAAAACATATTTGTGATAAATCAATAAAGTTATGAAAGTATGTTGTGTTTTTTTTATATACTTCACCCTTATTAGAAGCAAAAAACACATACCACCAGAGATCCACTTTCAAGAAAAACATCTGTAACAATCACATATTATTATTAGCTTCAAATCCAAACAGTAACGTCCACCTCATCCAAAGTGTATGAAATTGGGTTTAGCTGTGGTTCAAAATCCAACACTGAGAAAGGAGGAATCAAAATAGCATGGTAGAGATTAAGTTAAATAATCAATATCAATTACCTTTGATAAAGGTGAAATTAGGGCTCATCAATTAGGATTCCAAAACGATTTCACCTTTATGTACCTCAGTCAATCATCGAAACCCGAGAAATTCTTGAACTCTGTGTGAAAATTTCTCAACAAAAACTGATTTGATCTGTGTTAGTATATGAACTTGGGGTTTTATTGTTGTTTCCTGGAACCGAAATATCAATCATTTGGAGCACAGTCGTACCTGAAACTTAGTTTTCCAATTCCAAAGACTCCTTTTAAGCTTTCTTCCCCCTAGTATTGATACCTGAGATCATGAATTTAAAACTGAATTTAAAATTTCTTACCTGAAGAACCAAGCAGTTTCATTTCAGCATACAGTGCAAGGGGGATTCAGATCATCGGGATTTTAGGTTTGGGATGTTCGGCTGCTTGGTCGCCATCGCACCAGGGGTCGCCATCGCCCTTGAATCGACGATGGTGGATGGAGCAGAGGTACCACCAGTAGCGCCAGCGTCCGTTGTCGCTGCCTCCTCTTCCCTGTCCGCCGTTTAGTCGACATCATACACCGATGGTTGCTTGCCTGTAGCAGGTAAAGGTTCCGACACTGCATGTTCGTGAAGCCTTTGCAATCGGCAAGGGATCGCGTATACTGGACTTCGACGGTAATCGTAGAGCAATCGTAGGCACGCAGACATAATCGGCGGCGAGGAAACGGCCTCCGACTCATCTTCCTGCCGATGGATTGAACACAACACAGACGTGACCTGTTCCTTCTTTTTTCCTGTATTGATCTTTGATCTGTTATTTGACTCGATGTAAGAATTTGGGGTAAGGAAAGAAGATTATTTCTCCAAACCGAAAGGAAATCGAAATATGAGAACGTTTAGATAGAAGACGTAAGAAAATGTTGATGTTTATCAGAGAGGGTACGACCAGAAGAAATGAAGAAAAATCGAGAATCTGCTCAAACTTTCAAAGCAGTCAAATGGGATTTAATTTTCCACAACCCCCCACAAAAAAACAATAAAATATCAACAATAATAGAGAGACCATTTTTGCCAAAAATCCGTCACTGTTAAAATTCTTCACATCTTTAATATATATATATATATATAGATATATATATATCTATATATATATATATATATATATATATATAATAATTAAAGTCATTAAATATTCTTATAATTAAAGGCCAATACGTTAAGTCAAACTATATACCTCAACTTCAAGTTTTGAAGTGTCAACATAACCTCAACTATTAAGATTATAACCATAACCTTTCACATAATAATTCCAAATTAATTATAATTATTTAATCAAGAAAGATTTTGTTAAGAATATTCATATATACTAAGGTCCCGTGTGATAGACATCTTTCCAGGTCCAAGCAGAACTTTCTGGCTGAATGGACCGGAAATACTGTTTGATATGCATAAAAAAAAGAGTTTTTCCCGGTAAGATATATCTTTCCCAAAAAGCCCTAGAATCCTATCTTTCAGACCGAATAGGCTGGAAAGCTAATTGTGCCCTAAACCCCGCCTATTTCTTTCTTGGATTATTAATTTCTTTTAAATAATTTTTTTAATTTCTTGTTTATTGGATTATTACTTTTTTATTGGATTATTATATATTAATAAATATTATTTTTTAATATACAATATTTACGTATTAATTAATGTTACTTTATTGGATTATTAATTTCTTTTAAATAATTTTTTTATTTCTTTTTTATGGATTAATTCTTTTTTATTGGATTATTATATATTAATAAATGTATAATATTTATATGTTAAAAAATATTACTTTATTGGATTATTAAATTCTTTTAGTTAATTTTTTAATTCATTTTTATTGGATTAATTCTTTTTTTTTTGGACAACACCACCATCATCCTAATATATTTTAAAAAAATTCATCCATCCCACCACTATCGGACATAAACCGGATCAAGAATCACACGTTGAGTTATAAAAAAAACTAAAATTGCTAGAAAGTATAACAACGTAACATCAACTTGAAAAACAATAAACTAAAAACAACTTAATCCACATTCTATTTGGATTTTTAAATGAGTATTATATATAATTTTGATTTTGTATGACAATTTATATGTTTTTATAATTATTCAGTAACTTCATCCATCATAGTATAAAACAGCAGAGTAAGATTGTCATGTTTCATCATTCAGCACAGTCAATTAGATGTAGAATCAAACAACATGATTTTTTTTCCGGTCAGAAAACTTTCCCAGCACTTTCCCGGACAGAAACTATCAAACGGGACCTAAGTTAAAGTGTTGGCGGATGTGTCCATCGACAATTTCAACCCTATATTATGTAAAATATGATATTTTCAACCATTCTACTATGTAAAATGACAATTTTCACCCTGCTATTTTTTAAGATATCACATTGATCCTTCCTCTTTAAACTTTATAGTCACTTTCACCCCTTCCTTTTTTAAACTTTCGTGTTTATCCTTCCTCAACTTTGTAAATGATATTTCCACCTCTCTACTTTTTAAAATGTCACTTTGACCCCCTTCACTTTGAACTTTGTAAAATATCACTTTCACCATTGTTTTATCCCCGTAGTATATATAATTTGATTTTCCTTAATAAATTCCGTTCCTTAACCTTAAGAAAAACTAATTTTATGTGTTTTTTTATGTATGGGTTGATATAAATTCAAGGTGGTCAGTGTTTCGATGTATCCAACGTAAATTTAGAACTTTCGTTCGTTTATTTTTATTTTTAAAAATTACTTAGTTTTTTATGTACGTATCGATATAAATTCGAGTTTTTTCTAAGCTTTGATGTAAATTTCTTTATATGTTTTCGTGTTTATTATTATGTACGTTTGTTACATATGAATCAAATAACGTATAATACATTTTTGATTATTTGAACTTCTATTTGTTAACTTGAAAAAAATAATCTTAATTACTTATATTTATGTACATACCGATATAAATTTGAATTTCTTTACGTTTCGATTTAAATTTTGTGTGCATCTTCGTATGTGTGTTTTTTTATCTAAATTAAAGTGTCGGCCCACCTCCTTTTGTCCGGATTTAATCCTTACATTTTGGTTGTTGTCATTTTTGGTTCTTGCTTTTTTTAACATTGTCATTTTCGTAAATTTGTTCTATGTAACTTTCTATATAGCTGCTACATGCTTGCTAAATATTTTGCATATGTTTAACACATACAACTCATCATTCGTCAAATACATTGCAAACACCTTGTTCTAACCTAAAATCATAAGTGTTACCGTACACATGCATTGATTGTACAAGCAATAAAGTTCTTAAAAACAACTACTTTCTTTTTAGTTGTTTCGATAAGCTAAAAAACTTAATCATGCAAGTTCCTCATTCGCTTGTTACAACAACAACAACATATTATTTCCTGATAACACCCCATATATAGGTGTTATATGAGCATTTGATGAATACTTTTTTATGGAAAAAGAAAATAAAAAAATTTAAAGTTACCTTCATAAAAGCATATACCTTCGTGAAATATTTAAAACTAAACAGACAACATTTTTATATGTATATTTAATGGTAATATATTTATAATTTGAATTAGAACTTAATCTTATTTTTGCTCTTATATTTATTTAATAATTTTATTTTAACTTAGATATCTATCTATTTAAATGTTATAAACAAAGCATGCTTAAATGACTTAGTTTATAAAAAATATTTGGACGACTTTCACCTATTTTAAAAAAAATAACATTTCATTTTTTTGTTGCTTTTAATCTACCAATAACAAAATAGATATTACATTAACTGTTAGAAAATCTGGGGTATTAGAATGCTTGAGTTACTAAGAATTGTGAGATTCACTTTCAGATTAAAGTATTTCGAGGGTACACTCGAAAATCTCTAATCGGATAAAACTCAATATTCAAGAACAATGAATGAAGAAGATAAAGTTATGTCTTGTACGTTTTGTGTACCAAAAAACTTCCGAAATTGATCAATTAACATAAGATAACTTCATGTCCAAAAGCTGCCAAAAGATAGTTACAGGAAAGTAACTTCCTGTTTGAAAATTGTCATAAAACCTGTCACTAACCACCTTAAAATCGGGTCTAGAATTAGTATTATAAAATTGGGTTCATTTTCTTAAATTCGGATTTTCATGCATTTTTAACAAAGCATGTGGGTCTAGAATTATGATCACAAAACCGGGTTCATTTTCTGAAAACTGCCCCTTGGACCCCGCTTCCAGGGGTTCTGTTCTCGGACTCCCATCAGTTCAGGGGCTTCGCCCCTAAATAGCAATGTACTTTCAACCAAGACAAATTTAAACAAATGTGCACTCCGCACCACCCTAATTTGTTTAATATTTTTTCAAGGCAACATTGATCAACAAATTAATCCTAATACACTTAAATAATATTAATGATAGAAATCACCAACATTGATACTATGTAAATTCTAAAAATAAATATGTAAAAAGTCATCTTATGAGGATAGATGGGTCGAGGCAAGGGGTGGGGAAATTAGCAAGCAATATTGGCCCTTTGTTATTCCTCCGCTTCAATCCGTTGTCTCGGTTGGTAACAACAATATGTTCCTCGACTTCAATCCTTTTGTAGAATTTATATTGTTGGTTTATTTGAGGCAGTGAACTTGATGAAATTTTGTTGGATAAAACTTAAAAAAATGTTATTTTCAGCAGATGAAGGAGTAGGAAATGAAAAACTATTACTAATAATGTTCGTTGGAAACTATTGAGTGACTCTAAAGTCCTCCCAAAATATCGTGCCAAAGACATTCAAAAATGTCTCTAACAGAATGAAGATATGGCCACTAAACACCTGACCTAACTATCTCGAATGGTTGTCTATCCCTTTTGTCTTTATAGTTATGTCTCTGTTTATCCGAGCTTGTGCAGGTTTTTTTTTCTTTTGCTTATTTGGCTCATGGGCTGTATATAGACACTTTATATGGACACTTATCTGTGAGAAGCCTTTAATTTGGATTTTTTTTTCTATTAATAAAATTTTAATGAGATACCGTCTTTTTCTTTATCAAAAAATAAAATAAAAATATTTTTAGATTATTTTTAATTTTAAAAGTATCATAAAAATATTTTTAGATTATTTTTAATTTTAAAAGTATCTAGTTAAAAATTAAAATAAATAAATAATACCTTTTCAAGTTAAAAAGTAAAAAAGAAACTCATGGTTTTAATCCGAAGTAATTTTGGTTGCCTTCCAAATGGTTGAAGTTTAGGCTCCATTTTTTTCCTCCATAGAATTACGAGGTAAGTATCGATTGTACCCCTTTAACCTCCTATACACACACCGCCTTTCTTTCTTTCTTCTCCATTTTTTCGTGTACATGTAATTGCAGGCATGAACAGGGCAACGAAAATAGCCCTAATCAACTTAAACAACTCCCCTTTACATCTGAGAACAGCTTTCTTTCATTCAACTCCTGTCCTCGATCGTCGACGACGCACCCACTGGGAATCTGTAAGCCCCCCTCTTTCACTTTCTTTAATTTATATCCTGTGTTTGAATTTGCATTGTCTGATTACAAGGATTACTTGTTATTTGGCGAAATTTTTTGTTTTTCTTAGGAGTCAAAGAATCAGGGAATTGAATATAACTTGGGAATAAGTGAATTTGGTTTTGAAAAATAGCAAACAAGCTAATCTTGCGATACCTAAATAAGAATAGAGAAAATACACAATTATTGACTTCATTTAGAGAACCAAAAGAATAGGGAAACCAAGCATATTGGTCAATGCGAAGAGATATTAAACTAATTCTCAATGCCCACATAAGAATAGGGAAACTATTTGCATATAATCAGAAATTGTATTGGTTTTGTTCAACTAGATTGCCATATTGGGGGAATATGCAATAGGAAATTTAATTTCAAATTTTATTAAACCTAATTTGGCCTGAGTTGTTCTCGTATTAGCATCGAACTTGTGAATAAAGGAAGCATCTTTAATCCAAAAGCAAAAAACTACAGTAACTTTGCAAGACCACATGTAGAGCTCAAGAATATTAAGTAATTTTGACTTGAACATATCTTACATGAAACGCTCAACTTATTGCTATGATTTCATTTGATTATAATCAACACTTTAAATTTGAATTATTGGTTACTTATTTGTCATATTTTTCTTTTTCTCTATTTTGATTTTTGAGTAGGCTGGAAGTTTTTACAGAAGCTCCTCAAGGGTGAGAATTTCGTACAAAACACCTGCTTTTAAATCATAAACTCTTGTTTTTTTCTTCTATGTTAAAATTCCATACTTGTAAATACTTACAGAGACCCAACTTCAATGCAAGAAGACAAAGAAAGTTTTATGCTAAACATGAAATGCTTAGGAATGCTAGTGCTTTTGCAGAAAACATTTTCCAGGTAAATGTTATATATTTTTGTTATAAAGTTCATTAATATATCTATTGAAGCTGTTGTGGATTTATTTCCATACATTTAGGGATTGAATGATCATGATGAATTTGACCCATCTTCAAGTCAAGGAAACTCATGGTTTAGAGGTCATAGTGGACCCGGTGGGACCCGAGCTAACAGTAAGGGGGCCCAGGCTAGGGCCCGCAAAAGTAAGTGCAAAAGACATAAATGCCCTTGTCATCCTCATCATTGAAAAGCATTATGAGTTTCAAGTTTGAAGTTGTTTTTTTTACTTGAATTTTCAGAAAGATTTCAGTTTTATGAAGCTGGTGAAGATGTTGAGACGATTTTTCGATCTGCTTTTGGTGGAAATGGATTCTATTTTTGGTCTTTTATAAATGATGAATCGCCAAGAAATTCATCAGGCTTCTATAATAATCATGGGGCTTCATGGAATTCCAGACATCAGTTTGAAGATGAAGATGAAGATGGGTACTCATCTGAGTCAAACAGATTAGAAACTGATTTGACAAAAGACAGGATTACCCTTGGTTTGACTCGTTCTGGCCCTTTAAACCTTGAAGATGTTAAAAATGCGTAAGCTTTTCAATCTTCTCTCTGTTTTTTTTTTTTTTTTATAAAGATTCATTATCATCACATATATTAGAATGATGTCCCAAGTTGAAGGTTACATTTTCTTTTTTTAATTTTTAATTATTATTATTTTTTTAATTTTCCAGATACCGAGTTTGTGCATTGAAATGGCATCCAGATCGTCATGAGGGTTCTTCCAAGGTACGATTTGAATTAATAGTTTAATACATTTACATAGTTGCTTTTATTACATTTATATTTATAACATCCACATTAATCAGTTATTATTTTTTTTTTTTAATAAAATGGTGTACATGAACAGGCAATTGCAGAAGAGAAATTCAAGGTCTGCAGTGCTGCATATCAATCTTTATGCGAAAAATTGGCGATTAATTAAAAATAAAATAAAAAATAATTTTTCTATTTACCAATGCCACTTAGTGGTCATTTGATTTTTAGTTATTTAGTGTGTTTCATTTTTGTACACCATCATTAGGAAACATTATGCTTTTGGTTGATTGTACAATTTACTAATTTCTCCCTGAACAATTTATTATATTTTCTTGTGTTAGCAATTGTTAAGATTGCTGAATAAAATAAAGCAGAATGTTACTCAAGTCTCTTTATTTGTCTTCTAACATCTGTAGTATGTATCTTTTTTAATCAGAGCTTGAAGAACACATTTATGAGATATGTTTATGCAATCCATGTTTTTTTCTGGCTTGTAAATTATAATAAATGGTTGAATATTTGAACAGCTTTTGAGTATTTTATCAAACAATTTCAGTTTGATAGATTTGTCCTCTGTATAGGTGTTATGTGATTGATGGACATACTTAGATTAGAGTCTTTGATTTATAATTGGATACTTTGATTATTCTTTATGACATAGAATGAAAGAATTATAACAAATATCTTGCAAACTATTCAATATCTAAATTAAAATTATGCTGATCAATGTAGATTTAAATGTAAAGAGTGCCAAAAAACTTAAATTGATTTACAATTTGGTAACTTTGATTTGGAATTCATCAAGGAAAAACCATAAACTTTCGTTTAAGATAATACGTTTCCATGAGGAGACTTTGGATCACATTTTTGTGGTGTGTCATATAGAGTCAGATTGGGTGATAGTAGAATGTTCTTATTCCAACTTTTTCAGTTGCTAAGGATTGGATTATTTGGGTTGATCATACTCAATTTAATGTGAAGAAAAATAAGGGTTTGATGTAGTTGTTTCAAGGTGTTTTTAGTGATTTAGTAATGCTCTTTGTTTTCATTCCAAGAAGCCAAGAAATAATGATCTTTTTGAAAACATTGTTTCTCTATCGTACTTATGGATCTACCCTAATAAAAGAAAATAACATTGCCACATGTCATCACCTTATTCACTATGCCACATGGCATTTTATCTATTTTTCCAATTACCTTTAATTCCACTTGGCAAATTCTAATTTTTTTGCTTTTAAATTAAAAAATCCGTAATGAAAATACAATATATCAATTTCCCTGAATTTAAAGAAAGTCAATAACTACTTAAAAGCTCACGTAATTTTTGCAAGGGAGGTATTAATTTCAAATAAACCTTCTTAATTATCATCAACAAAATTCTGTCAATCCTTTTAAAAATAACGTTAATTTGGAGAAACTTTTCAAACATTTTTCTTCACTCACGTAATTTTTGCAAGGAATGTATCAAACTTTTACATCCTTTTCAAAAATCATTTTTATAAATTACTTTTTATGTATAACTCAATTCTATTCATCTGTTATCACTGTCTCTTGCAATATTGAGTTTACATCATCGTCTTCTAAAGTTTTGCATCATCACAGTGGAAAATCTTCTTTTCAATCACAGAGTTCAATCCATTCGGTAAGTTTATAAAAAAAACTACTTTTAAATTGTTTGTTTATCTTTTGTTTCTTCTTGTGTTTTTTTAATGTGTGTGTTGTTTTTTTAACATCTTCTCAATGTGTATGCGTGTGTGTGCGTTAACTGTTTATGTTCATGTGTGTTTGTGTTTAACTGTTTATGTTCCTAAATCAATCCAATATAAAACGCATGATTCTGACTTTTGAGTTTTCATTCCATGTATCAAAATGTGGTAGATGAAAACAGGGGCGTTAAAACATATGATTAAATGTCTGTAACTCTCTATGTATAAGTTCTGGATCAACATTGAAGCTGTAAATAAATAAGATGAACAAGGATTTTTTATGTAGACTTTTGTTAAACAGGAGACTTAGAATGAAATAAATTGTCTTATAAAAGCCCCTGTTTTCCATCCTAAGTCCTTGCTTTCAACCTTGGGAATCAAAATTGAAACCATTTACAGCAATATAATTAAAAAAAATTAATTGTTATTCCTGTTTTTGTTCAACTATGCTGTTTTAGGTGTTTTCCTACTTATTTGAAAGTTGTTATATTTGTTTCATGTGATGGAATGGAAACAGGAAAAGGAATGGAATACTCTATTATCACTGTTATTGTTTTTTTTGTTATAATGTAGATTAATTAAAGTGAAAAATACAAATACTTTTTTCTGTCCCCAACTGTTTACTATTTTTGTATGACCAAGGGTCAAAAACGTCATTTTTACATTTTTCTTGGTTGTTTACACATTTGGTACATATTAACCTAAATGTGAATTTGCATACATTCAATCTACTTACAATTCAAAAAAACATATAAATATTCTTCATAACTCCAGTCGTTTCATTACCCATAGCAGATAACAAACTGAATACCTCTTAGAATCATGATAACATCAGTGCTGTTACAGGTGTTATTAGAAAAAAAAAACTACAAAAAAGGTATGCTTTAATTGGGATGGTTTTTCAAAACAAATATGCTTTTATTATAGCAAAAAAGGAAGTGGTTATATTTTTGTTTTACTATTCCATATTTTGTATTTTGGGCATTGCTGCAGAACTGACTTTGTTTTGCTATTTATTTAAAAGTGGTTATATTTTTTTGGTGTGATGGAATGGAAACAGGAAATATGGAATAGGATGGTCTATTATCACTATTATTGTTGATTTTTTTATGTTTTAATGTTGATTGATTAAAGTGAAAAATACTAATAATTTTTTTTGTCCCCAACTATTTATGATTTTTCTATGAGCAAGGGGCAAAAACGTCATTTTTACAAATCTGTTGGCTATTTAACACGTCTGGTCCATATTGACCTAAATGTCTATTTGCATATCTTCAATCTGCAGAACCGACTTTGTTTTACTGTTTTATGTAAAAAAAAATGAAAATTCCATTTTATAACAACTTCAAATAAAGTAACTCTCCTCGGAAGATACCGAATACAATTTTTTCCCCTACAATATGGTGAGCCTGTTGAACATCGTATGTTTTGATTATAGTTGTGGGACACTTCTGGTATCTTCGGATTACTCATGTTATGTTTAATACCTTTGTAAACTAATATATTTGTAAATTAATAATTTTTAGTCATTATGATTTCTCTCTAACCTTATTTGACAGTTTTACACATTTGGTACATGATTGACCTAAATGTTTTGTCATTTATGCAATTAAAATGGTGTTTTCTTATGTTCATTACTACATTCTTGCATAGATTAATGGAAAACAGGAAGATTAGCATGATAAGTGAGTTGGCTCTCTCACAAGATGACTATACCATTAAGGTCCGTGTCATCCGTTTGTGGAGACAAACTTCATGGAATCAACAACTTCGTATGATTGGCATGATATTGATGGATGAAATGGTATGTTATAACTTACGTATGTTAACTTACAATTATATGTATGTGTATTATAACTTACATATTTTATATATCATTACATTTATTGTATGCTTATTAATTAATATTTGATTTTTTATCTTAAGGGCTCAAAAATTGAATGTAATGTGGACAAACCATTTGCATCGCTTCAAGGAAAATCTTTTGAAGAATATGGTGATTACTACATTCATAAACCCACATTAGGGTTAAATGAAGGTGCTATAAAGTTTGTTGACGGTCCACACAAACTCTATTTCCAGTATAACACGAAGGTAACTAAATGCATAGATTTTTGCGGGCCACAGAATTCTTTTGATTTTGCAGACTTCCAACAACTTCATGATAATGCAATAAACCCAAAAATTTCATTTGGTTAGTGCATTTCCTTTCAACCCATTCCTAATGGATTAAAATATTTAAATTTCATTTTTTACACCACAAAAAAACATACTTACATTTTTCCTTTTGTATAATATAGATGTTATTGGAAACGTTTTCCGGTGTTTTCCATTGGAACCTGCAAAGGATAGACAGGAAAAGAAAATCACATTCAAAATGGAGGATTTAGAGTGGGTTTCATTTTTTATACCTATAATTACTCTTTTTATTATATATTTTTTTAGTAATTTTCATCATTTTTTACAGAGGACATGAAGTTTTTGTTACCCTATGGGGAAGGTATGCTGATGAAATTAATGCATATGTCTCTAAGCATACCGGTCATTTTGTATTGCTTATTCAATGTGCTAAGTTGAAGCTTGTCCGAGGTACTTACTTAGTAAATTGTTAATTTGTAATATTTATATTAATAACATATCTATGATATGAATTTGTTAACATGTGGAAAATTATTAAATTTCATTTTCAGATCGTCCTTATGTCAATAACACCTACTTGGCCACAAAACTTTATATTGAAGATGACATTGAGGAGATAACAACTTTCAAAAAAAGGTTATGTGAAATTTCTACATGATTTCTCATTACGTTTTAATGTTTCAATAATATAGAGTTATACTATCTAACATTAATTATCTTAATTAGTTTACAAGCAAAAAAAGGCTCTTTGACTTCCTCGGTTTCACGTACCTCGGGTTCATCCATCATGTATTCACTACATGATGACTTTCTTCAAAAAAACTCTTTTCACCAAATATCCGCTATTCACGAATTGAACGAGGTATATGAATTATTCTTTTTTTTATTTAGTTAATTCAACACTTAAATATTTAATACACCTAAATACACCTAATATCATAGGGAGGTTGTGCGGTAATTCTTGGCACAATAAAGATGTTTGAAGATACACGGAACTGGTATTATAATGCTTGCAAACATTGCAAGTCAAAGGTTCAAATAGTTAAGGTTTCAGATGAGACGGTCAATGGCTTGGACCAGTTAGAAGAGAAAGAGATTATGGTTTGTACAAATGAAAAGTGCAAGGACAAACTTATTACTGCTGAACCAAGGTGTGTAATAAATATTAACTTAGTATATTATTCTTCAATATTATTATATTTAATTTAAACTTTTAAAATTTTTATGTGTTTTTTTAGTTTTATGATCAAAGTTCGAGTTCAAGGTTTAGTTGGTGTTGTGAGTCTTACGATCTTTGATCGTGAAGTCAGAAATATTCTGAAATTATCTGCTGCTGATTTATTATCAAAATATGAAAGGGTATATGTTTCTTATATGCAATACCATCTTGCTAAATACAACTTAATTTTCACACATTGATTTAATTGTTATTATTTATTAATATATTTTTGTAGTTTGGCAATACAAGTCAGTTTCCTATTGAGTTGAATGCCATGATCGACAAAAAATTGGC